TTTATCTTTTGCAATTTTCTTAATCTTGTATGGTCATCTTTTAGATCTTAGTTTTTTGTAGGTCATTTTATGATAATCTAATTCTTTGGGACTTGATTGTATTCTTTTCATAGTTTAATTGTATTTGGGGGTATTTTAGGTAGTTTCAATTTTTTAGAAAAGTCAAAGGTTATTTTGGAATTATGGCTTTATGTTTGGGTTATTTATTCATATATCCTCTCCAAGAACTAAAGATATATTTTCTAGCAAGTTATGGCATCGAATCCTATCCAAGAACTCCATTGGATTTTGATTTGGATTTTTCTCCTTTTGTCATAATATTTTCCCCATCTTCCTGGAATGTATTTGCATCGAAAGACCTCTATCTAAGTGTTCAAGCAACTTTCTCTTTTATTACATTATCCAAGCTTATCCTTAAGACCATGAAATTACAACTTTTGCCATCTGCTATGATGCCATGTTAACTTTGACTTTTTAAGCATTCACTACTTATATAGGATCCCCTCCATTTAATGCACCAATTAATGTTAAAATCACATCAGGCTTGAAGTAGGATGATATCCAAACATGTGCACATGCAAAGAAATAGAGTGAATTGAAGAAGAAGAAACGAGAAGAAAAAGTAGGCGTTCAAAGTAAGTGGGCAACAATTAAAAAAAAAATACAGGTGGAGACAATGATGAGGAAACATGGAAAAAAGAAGCAGAAAATAGGACCGTGGAAATGAGGAATCGCTCATGTTGTCACTTGTCTACAGTGATAGATTGTATTCTTCAGATATCTTCTCAGTAAAACACTGGCCTTCGAGCAAAAACTGTAAGAGGTAGAAAGCGGGTTGTTTTGTATGGTTTCTTTCTAGTGCTATAGAAAAAACACATCAGTATCTTCTGCATTGATGTTGTTTTAATCTTTCTTTATAGCCCCAATTCTCTTATGGGTCTTTCTTTGAAATTCTTTGGTTTGTATCTCAACGGAAGTCTGGTATGTTGTTCTAATCTTCCATTGTAGCGTCTTCATTTATTATTTGAAAATATTCTGACTCATAATCTTACAATTATCCAATTTATCACTGTAGATCTACAAATTTAGATTCATGGTCTCCTGAGCAGTTGAAAATGATGGCCTTTGGTGGAAATAACCGTGCGCAAGTTTTCTTCAAGCAGCATGGATGGACTGATGGAGGCAAGATTGAGGCCAAGTACACATCAAGGGCTGCTGAGTTATACAAGCAGTTGCTTTTAAAAGAAGTTGCTAAAAGTAATGCAGAAGAAGCAGTTTTACCTTCATCTCCTATTGCATCTCAGTTAATACAACCTTCTAACAAATTTCCTGATAGTAAGATCAGTGAAGCCCCAATAGGAAGTTCTGTCAATGATTCACCAGAAGAAAGTTCTTCAGTAAAGCCTGAAAAAACAGAGATTTCTGCCTCAACAAAAACCTCTCAAATAGTTGTCACTACAATTGTGAAGAAGCCTCTTGTTGCAAAGAAAACTGGGAAGGTGGGGGGCCTCGGTGCTAGGAAGCTTACTACTAAGGTAAAGAATAGGTTTTTCATTTTTGTTATGAACCAAATGGTTCAAATTACGTATTATATCTCAATATGGAAGTGATAATTGTGTAAATTCTTCATGATTACTAAATATCTGAATGCCTTTTTCCCAATGCAGCCTAGTGAAGGTCTCTATGACCAGAAGCCTGAAGAGCTCCCCCCTGTACAGGTTTCCTCAGGCACTTCTTCAAACAATGGCATCCCCAAAGTTGGTTCATCTTTTGCATCTCGATTTGAGTATTCGGATAATGTTCAACCTGCTGATGTGAGTCCTGGAGGTGTTCATGTCGTCAGCCACGTAACTCCACCTAAGTCATCAGACTTTTTCACCGAATATGGCATGGACAGTGGTTTCACAAAGAAGAGTAGCATGAACTCGACCAAAGTACAAGTAAGTTCATATGTTTTCTTTATTGTTGAGTGAAAATGAATCACTTTTCAGTAATTGATAATCTCAATGTAAAAGGAAACTAATCTATAATGCATTTAGGAATTCAAGATCTAATAAATAGAGAAAAAATACTTTATTTGTTCACTGTTATAAGGTCATTTGCCTTGTATTTATGGCATCACTTAAATGAAAGTTGGATTGGCATCACTTCAATGAAAGTTGGATTGAAACATGAAATTACTAGTAAAAGCACGCAAGTCAAAAGCTGCACTCAGATCAAAAAAGTTCATCTAGTAAGATTGCTTCGTTCTTAAATAAACACATTTTGTGGCCCTACGATGAAGCTTTTACATGTTTAAAAATGGTTAATTGTGTTAGATTTCAGTGACTTTTTGGTTCTAGTGCTTCTTTTACAGTGTTCTTCATGATCTGAATCATAAAGGATGCATTAGGTATGCTTTGTGAAGGCACTGTGGCCCCCTCAATTCTGTTTCTATGCAGATATGGGACGTGCAAGCATTTGATATGCATTGGGTGTCTATACATAAGATCTGTTTAAAGATTGATGAAATATCTGTACGAGTTCAATTCTTTTACTCGCGTTTGTAGAATTGATTTGTTGATTTCTGTTTTGCCCTTTTAACTTGCTGATTTTCTTATTTTAATTTTTTTGCTTTCCTGATATCTATCTGAGTTTTCAATTGAGTTGTGGTTCTGCATGATTGGAGATTACAGATGCATGTTTTCTTTCAATGCACGAGATCTCGACATAATTCTTTCACCTATATATATGTATCAGGTTGAGGAAACTGATGAAGCAAGGAAGAAATTTTCTAATGCGAAGTCCATATCATCAGCACAGTTTTTTGGTGGGAACAAAGCAAATGATATGGAAGCATCAGCTTCCCTGCAAAAGTTCTCCGTATGTACTGTTATCCTTAATACATCTTTTTCTACTGTTTTTATTTTCTCTTTGGGTGAATTGTGTAGTCATTTCTTTAAATTTTCGCGAGTCTCTCTTTCCCGGCATCCTGGAGATTGTTGACTTTTACATTATAATTACTGTTTTATTGGTCCTATTTGTTTCTGAAGTGATTATAATATTTGATTGCCATTGATTAAATTTTAGATGAGATTTTTTAGCCAGAGACTTTGTATACCAACATTTCACAAATCTTTAAATCGTAGGTAAAACTGTTCCTTGTCCACCGTGATTATAAATTTAAGATTTATCTATACTATAGTTTGTCCAACTTCAAAACCGAACTTGGTATTTAGTTCACCAATTTCTTAATGGATCCAAAGTTTTTTAACAATAAAAATAGAAATTCAGAGATATGAGTGTTCTCTGTGTTTATAAATATATTTGTTAAGGAATGAGGATTAATCAGTTTGTAAAATTGTATTTAATAAGAATATACTTGAACTCTTGCATTTCGAATAAAGTATCTGCCCATTTCAATCGACATTGAGATGATTAGTACTTTGGATAACTCACTTTTACATTTTATAATTTTTCATTCAGTTACTCCTTGTGAATATTTTCCTTAATCCACTCTGAACAATCTTTGGTTATGTTATTTGGCGGAAAATTAATTGTCTCCAAGGATTGTGTATGCTGAATCACATTTGTTTGTTCTCTTCGATTTTAGGGTTCAGCATCAATCTCTAGTGCTGATCTATTTGGTCACGATGCCAGTAATTCATCTGTTGACCTCACAGCTAGCGATCTCATTAATCGTCTGTCTTTCCAGGTACAAATGGACAAGGACAATATATGAGATTTTAATTAGTTTTCCTTAATCCTGCCCTCTACTGTCTTGACCCAGGGCGTATACGTTGGCATGCTTTGCTTCGAGATTTCTTTTGCTTTTTGATTGCAATATTCCCCTCGTTAATCTATTTCTTTGTCGTTTATTGCCTTCTCTTGATTTGTATCCAATATTTAACTCCTCGTATACGGTATTTAACAGGCACAGCAAGATATCTCCTCTCTTAAGAATATTGCAGGAGAAACCGGGAAGAAGCTCAGCTCCCTGGCGTCCAATATATTTACGGATATTCAGGACCGAATCCTCTGATAAAATGCATTGTATTTTAAACTGAGACCTGGCATTGAATGTTGTTCCATGTAAAACATCAAATGTGATCTGAAAGTAATAGGTTTATGATGATATGTTTTGTCCTAATTTGTGTCGCTAGTTGTGGAAAAGATTGCTTAAGAATACTGATCCGTGCTTTTTTGAAGATAAGTGGATTTTTAAAGTTTCTCAGCCTACTAAAAGTTCTGTGTCTTGCGATTGAATGAATGCTGAGATTTGAAACCTGAATTACACTCTTCACGACCGGTGGCCTGGATCGATGTTGCAATTGCCTGGGGAATTTCTTGTTCAGATTACAGATGTGTCTTTTTATATATATGCCCCTGTTTGGCCCCCATTTTGGGGTCTTGAATTTTTTTGGAATACTGATTGATGTGAGAATGTGTGGTAGAAAAGTAATGAAAAATTTTAGATTTGTGTGTAATATTATTTTATTTGATGAATGTGGTTGAAATGAAGAGAAAATTAATATAATGTAATGGAAAAAAATTGGGGCCAAACGGGGGCATATATACTAGTCAACGTTGAATATGAACTATTTTATAAATGTTGTAGAAGTAATACTAAAATATATGTGAATATTAATTAATTTACGATTAATATTAGGAAATATACGTGACAATGAATGTTAAATCATTTATTTAATTTTTAATTAAGTAAAATTGGATGTTAATTAACATACATGGACATGAATAATGAAATATATTCTTGAATATGAAATTTTAATCGACTTATATTTAGAATTAATAACACTAAAATGCATAAATGAAGATGAATATTAATTCAATGAAAATTGATAATTAATAATAAAAATTCATATATTAATAAAAGTAAGCTGATGAAATAAATTTGTCAAATGTATATGTACATTAATGGTAACTAAATTTTTAAATGGACTAAATACATGAAATGCGAAAAGTAAGGTATTATTAAATAAAGACAATAGTAATAGAATTGTGGAGGGGAAGGATGAAGAGAAGAGTTGGACAATGGTTTACTATTTGATGAGATGAGGAAGAGATTTTGAATTTGCATGATAATTTCGTCCCTTAAATGTGAGAAATTTCTGTTAATTGATTTTAATTAGATAATTTATAATTAAATGGAATATTTTATAGAGTAGAAGTAGACTGTATTTCCCTACTGAACTTGGAAGTGGAAGATGATTTACCCTTGCTTGATCCTAATTTTTTTTCAAAATACGTTTTTCTCTTTTCTTTTCATTCACACATCTTTCAATAAAATAATATTATACACACTCAAAATTTTTCCTTATTTTTTAACCACACATTATCTATCAATCTATTATTCCAAAATGCATTCTAAATAAAAACAAATGGGGCTCAAATTGGAACTTGAAATAGATGTCCAAATGTATATTTGAACTTTATATTTTGAATAAATAAATATCAATTTATATTATTTGAATATTTTTATAATTACACTGATATTTGAGCAAATAATATAAAGCGCCCGTTCGACCTCCATTATTTGTGGTTATAATGAGAAGAACAGTTATTTTTTTTAGAATGTGTGGTTAAAAGAGAATAAAAAGTTTTTGAATTTACACATAATATTATTTTGTTGAAAAATTTGTTGTTGATAATAAGATAGAGAAAAATGGATTATAATTTAATGAAGGCCAAACGAGAAAAAAATGTATCCTAGTCACAGATTTTATTATAAACAGACAAAAATATTTATAAATAAGTGAATTGTTCATGAGCAGTAAATAAAATATTTTATTATGAAAATGCCGTATTATCTTTATTGAAGTTACTTTTACTTTGAAAATAAAGATAGAAATTGTAGCGAGAAAATCCTCCGGGTTCTCCTTGACATGTAGGGTGTTCCGACTACTCTGATCAGTTAATTCTACCTGCAAAATGTGGTAGGGGCTTTCTACCTCATTGTACCTCATGCGTGAGAATCATTAGTTGGCTTAGGAAAGTAGGAAGAGAGTATAGTTGCAATTCAGACAGTTCGGGTTTCAAGAAACATACATTTCTCACCTTAAGGGTATTTATAGGCACCTGTTGCAACACACTCGTTTTGCAGTTAATGATGCCACGTGTCCCACGTAAATCTTCTCACTTCCTTCACATTCGACGGCATGACCCCCACTCCTCAAGCGGTTGGTTGTGCCCATATTTGCCATTGAGCCGTTCTCGTCCAGCTCATTGCCATTTGTATGGTTAAATACAGCGTTGGCTTCATAGTGGTAGATGGCCTATATAAACGTAGAGGGCCTCATGGTGGTAGGTGGCCTCGTGTCGATTGACAGTCTTATAGTGGTAGACGACCACATTGTGGTTGACGGTCACATTGTGGTTGGCGGCCTTATAGTAGTAGACGACTTATGTGAACGTAGAGGGATCTCACAGTGGTATACATCCTGTAGGGGTATACGGCTTATCATGTGGTGTTCTGCGTGGGGTGCATATCAAGTAGCCCTCACCTCATTGGCCGTCGTAGATAATTATTAATGACATCTTATATCACAAGCCCCTCTACCTCTTGTCGATGTCTATCGATAAGGGGTAGACTCTTCATGCTGGTTAATTAATAATATTTTTTTGTTTGTTTGTTTTAAATGTGTGTCGACATTTGATATATACGTGTCAAGCAGTCCAATTAATGTAGAGTGACAAAACACTGTGCAAGTGGCACCCCATAATTAGGTTTTAGTTCTGGGGGAAAATTTCCCCCAAAAAAATTGAAATTCCACCTCTATTTAAAGAGGTGAGTGCTTCACTTTTATTCCCACTTTGCAAAAAATATCTTCTCCCTCTAACTCTCAAGGTAACTCTTTCCTCTCCTCTTCCTAGTTTTTTTTTTTATTTCTTGTCATTTTGGTTTTCTTCCTCTATCATGTATAAAACTTTCATATCTTCTTCATTCGACGAGAGTGGTGGTAAGGGAGTGTGCAAGTCGACCGACCTATCGTCGATGGGTCGGCTGAGGCCAACACCGGCCTCACCTATTGACGACGATCTACTGGTGAGGTCGGTCAACCAGCTTGTCGACCAGCCTATTGGTCGACGTACGTTCAAACAAGCGGTCGACGAGTTGGTCATTCTCGACCAGCCACACAGACGCTCTCCCTTGAGATGTTGATCAAATTTTCAATGATTCCGATAATCCATCCCATTCGACTGAGATTCATATTTTCCAACCAAGTTCTTTCAAAAGACACATTGGTTTGACTAAGTTCTTAAACCAAAATATAGAGATTGGGCGAGATGCCGCAGGCGAGGAGGTGATTCTTGAGATTCCAAATTGTTATAGCCTTTATAATTCTCCATCTAAATTGGAAAAGTCATTTAGAAAATATGAGCGTGTGAATCACTATGTTTATAGAGCCCCAACACCCAAAAAAGGCTTCCCGGGCCCGACCCCCGCGGAGTCGCCATGTATAAAGATATTATGGGTTGTGGTTTCCGATTCCCCATCCATCATTTCTTTGTCTCGTTATTTAATGAGTTTCACCTCACTCCTATCCAAATAAATCCCCCGTGGAAGAAAGCACTATATTTCTTATACATTTGCCTTAGCCAGAAAATTCCACTCTCAATGGACCTCTTCAGGTGCGTCTTCGAGATGCATGAGCTAGCTCAATGTAACGCCTTCGTCTACTTTACCACTAGGGTTTCCTTGTGTTTTTTCAAGTTTAAGAATTCCAACAGCGGGTGAAAATCTCAATTCTTCTTTGTTCGACCCCCTGAGGAGTGTCCTTTTCATTACCTATTAGAGACATCCCTTAATTCGCCTCTTCAACATTCAAGTCAAGATCACCCCTCTTCTAAAGGCTCAAATCCAACAACTGACTAAAACTTCACGCCTCACACCCGACCTAGGGTCAGTTCTAACAATGAGGAATATGTTGCTAGTGGGGATCGGTCGTCCTACTAGTAGGTCCTTTTATCTTGCTTGTACTTCTACACTTGTATATTTGACTTGTCTTTATTTGTTGGGCTTGATTAACTCGACTGCTTACGTGCATATATGGATCTTGATCTGGTCGAGGTGTTTTGCTTTTAGTTTTACATTTGTACACATCGTAACCCGTTGTTTTGTGAGCTTGATAGACCCTATCTTGTGTGTACAGGGATCGAGTTCAATTTGGAAGAGACCATGGACTCCTTGCCAGAGTGTGGACGCGATAGCGATGATGACCCACCTTTCGCTCCTTTGAAAATGAAGTAGACCGATGATGGATGAGCACTGCACCGTACCATCAAGGATGCGTCTCAACCTTTGGATGGGCCTATAGAAGCTATCCCACCACCCGAGACTTGGAGAGCAGCTCAAGTTGCGTCGGACCCGAACACGAAGGTTTTCTTCTTCCAGACTTTAGGTTCCTCCCATCTCAAGGCTATTCAGAGATGAGGGAACTCAGATCCTTGGTTACGCCTGGATGTGCCCAGGCGATCGCCGGGAGAATTGCTAACGACATTGAAAGAGTTATAGCGGTCTACACTCAAAGGGTAGAACTTCTTTCATTCTTCTTTGTTTTTGTTTGTTTATTCTTTTGTACATGCCCAATAGTTATTTGTTCTCTCGTCTCCTTTAGGTTGTGGCTCTTCAGGTTGGGCTTGTTGAGTCGAGCCGTTGCTAGCCATCGGAGTTAAAGGTCCTTGCTGAAGAAAATAAGGAGTCTCACCACTACAAGAAGAAAGTCTCTTCTTTGAAGAAGTCTCTCGAGACTTCAGAGGCCCGTGCTTGTGAGCAAGAGACGGAGATAGACAACCTGCGCTCTGTTTTGGCTCGGGCTCTTTAGGAAGAGGTGGAGAAATATAGGGCCTCTGTGGAGTATGCTGATCTGGAGGCATCTGTGGAACGGTACAAGTCGTCATCTAATTTTGCCAAGGCCTTGCATTCTTACAGGAAGAAGGCAATGGTGGTGTCCATCAAATTGACTAAGGAGTGGATATCTGCTGAGCACCCTACTATCGATCCCAGGTTTCGATAGGTTTCTA